AGTTATTTTACTGTGTCTTAGAAAGTTTGGGTGGAGTAGCTGGGTGATATAAGTTTCAGTCTTTGGAAGGGAAGTGGTAAAATTGGTATTATGGTGGACTTTAGAGGGGAGGAAAATTAAAGCGGTGATACTGCTGTCTACAGGAAGTAGGGCAGGCTACAGTCTAATTTAATAAGGGGGACCTGACATTTACAAGAGACTGGGGAAGGCGTGGAAAGTGAGTGGTACAACCTTACCAGTGGTTGCTAGATTTAGCAGGTAAAATAGAACTCATTGTGTTAAAAATTTTTAAAGATTTATTTATGTATACATACAGAACTGAGGTACAGGCCAGAGGTGTAGGGGCGGTGAGAGGCTTCACCAGAGACAGAGTGGGGAGCAGAACAGGCTGATTGATGAAGTACACTGCTGAGGGGAGCAGCGGGCGGGTCAGGAGAGGTCTGCTGTGCCAAGTGGGTCACCTCCAGGGCAGGGGACCAAACTCATGCTAAAGAGGCTTTAGCTTCACAGTGCTGTGCTTTAACCCGCTGCGCCACCAGGGAGGGCCCCCTATTCAGTTAAATTTGCAAGCAGATTAACAAATAAAGTTTTTAGCATATCTCCCAAATATTGTATGGGATTTTTATCTGATACTTTTTAAAGTGAGATACTAAAGAATACATAAGAATACCAGCAAAGCTGTTCCGAAACCAGAAATTTGGAATGGAGCAACCTCATTGTGAACTGGGCATCAGATGGTAACTTCACAGCACGAGGGTTGGCTTCCAGGCAGCCACTGAAAGGGAACTGGGTCAGCAGCCAGGAGGTAGTTTCAGGAGGCAATAATTTCGGGTCTCTGCTGAGAGTAATGGGAAGAGACGTGTGGGAACCAGAGCCTTGGAGTTGGCTGGAGAGACATTGCTGCAAATAGCTTTGCCTATTTTCTAGTCTTGCTTGAGCATTCATCAACATTTTTATCTAAAAAATGTGGACTAGGCATGAATGTTACCAAGTAATTGTGGAAAGTTTTGAGTTCTTTAAATCACTGGACCAATATTGAATGTTCTTCTAATCAACAGTAATCACAAGAAAGAAACTGATTTGTATGCAATTCTTTGACATGTTTGCAGTTTAAGAACTTGTCAAAGATAATTTGGAGTAGGGGCTGTGAGTCCACAATCTCTCTGCAGCCCGGGTTAAACTAGTTGTTTTTTATGTCTGAGATTCAGTTTTCTAAAATTGGAATAATAGTAGTGGTTAACTTCTAGCATCATTATATAGATTAGTTATTATGTGTAGCACTTAGAATCTGGTATGCAAATACTAAAAGTGCACTCTTATATTAAATATTATAGGTAGATAATGAAAGATTTTATTAGTATACCTTGACATAATTTTTTAAAAAAAGATTTATTTATGCATACAAGAACTGGGGTACAGGCCAGAGGTAAAGGAGGTAAAAGGATTCACCAGAGACAGAGCAGGGAGAAGAACAGGCGGATGGACTGAAATACACTGCTGAGGGAGCAGTGGGCAAAACAGGAGAGGTCTGCTGTGCCATGTGGGTCATCTCCTTGGCCTCAGGATCAAACTTGTGTAGCTGTGGCTGGGGATAGCTCCATTGTATTGTGCTTTAATGCCTTGCACCACTAGGGAGCCCCTTCTTTACATAATTTGGTATATAAAATTGTAGTCTAGGAATCAGTGGTTTAAAAAATAATATTCATGAGGGGAGGGAAGACATGAGAGGATGTTAGAGCAGTGCAAATACTACTCATGTTATACTTAACTGCAGATGGATTCATGTCATTATACATTTGCCCAAACCATAGAATGCACACCACCAGAGTGAACCCTCAGGTAGACTAAGGATTTGGGTGATGATTGTGTGTCAATGCAGGTTCACCAGTTGTAACACATGTACTACTCTATGGGTGTCATCGGGATAGAGTACACCTTACACTGAATTTTGCTCAGAACGGTAAATTGCTTGAAAAATAGTCTTAATGATAAAAAAAAGGTAAACAAAGACAAAATTTAATACAAATTTTATCAAAAAGAAAATTTTTTATGTTGAAAAAGGCTTCTTCATGGTACTTTTGATTGCATTTTGTAGACTCCATAGTGAGAAATAAGTGGTCTTAAACTGATATTCATTAGCATCTCTTTGCTTACATTTTGTAGACATGGTCAAGAAATTAGTACAAATTTAAAACTACATAGCTAAAGTTTTGCTTCCCTTGGAGAACATCTATTTCTATTCCCTATCTGCTTATTGACTGAGTTTGGGCTGAGAGACGCTTATGTTTTGGAAAGGAGCTCTGTCTCTCACTGCTAAGTGACAGCTCTCATCAATAAAGTGACCCACTGTTTGCTTAACGAAGCAGCAGTATTAAATTAGATAAACCATCACAGACCTCCTATAGACTGAGTAATTCACTTTAATTCTGTTCTTACATGAGCACATGGGTTGAGTTTTCCAAGTCCCCACTTTTTTTGGAGTTCTATAGACTCAACAGGTGTCCCCTTCTTAATGAAGTTAGTCCTCCAAACCATTCAGTCTTACTGTCTAATTGCAAGTGTCCTTATCTTAGTCTTTACACTGTGCGGTATACTTTGGCTCAGTTTCTACAATGTCTGCAAACACTACTCATGATTTATTTAGTGAGAGACACATGTCATCGCACGCATGTTGTCTAATTTGTGGGTACGTGTTGGAAGCAATCACCGTTAATGAAAACTTTCGGGCAGCTGTGAACTAACTGTCACTTAATCTTTTTTAACAAGCTCATAAAATACAAGTAGGTAGGGGGGTCTGTTGTTTATTCATTCAGTCTCCTTCTGAGTCATTCAGATACAGGGTGTGTCAGTCAATTGAAACTGAACAACGGAGTAGTTTTTGCTCACATGTGCTTAGAAGGGGAGCCAGTTCGATCTGAACTGGGTGGAAACCGTCTCTGTAGCAGAGCAGACATACAGAATTTGTCCCTCAGAACTGCGCAGGGCCGCCTCTAGAATTTGTCCCTCAGAACTGCACGTTTTAAAGTAGCATCTAAGCGAAAGGAAAGAGAGGGCAAGTTGACTGGGGATCTTTGAGCTGCTTCAGAGTAGAAACGCAGGTAGGGGTGCAGATTTGTCCAGGCTGGACAATGCAGGTCCTAGCCTGGGCTTGGGCCTTGCAGCTCTCATTCTCTGAAACTCCTCAGCCCCCCAAGTTTTTGAAAACTCTACGGCTCTGGCAGGTGCCCAGCTACTTAAAGCCCGCACCACTGCTCAGGATCTGGGACACATGACCTAACTTTGCGCCCCGTGGAGTGAGGGTAGCCCCTCCCCCCATCCGCACACCAGGCGCTGGTCCCCTGCGCTGTGCGTCCAGAGCAGCGGGTTAGACTGCAAGTTTTGCCGCTGCATCGGGTTGGGGGTTGGGCATGGAGGCAGAAGTGGAGCGAGGCGGAGGAACCCCCAGGCCACGCTCCCTCCTTAGTTCTCCTCCATGCCTCTCACAGCCCCTTGTCGGCCTCTCCACCCCGAGAGGGTCCCAGACTCGCAGGGCCACCTCTCCGGCTTCCTCGCCTACGCAGAAGCGGCCTCGGGGCGCTCCGCCACAATCTCTGGACTCCTGTCCCCTGAGGACTGGGGGTTGGGGGCTAGAGGCGTGTGCCACGCGACAATGGTTCCTCTTCTGCTCACTAAGATCTTTTGGGAGAAAAGTTTCCAAAGGCTCTCCACCAAGACTCCGGACAATCAACTACACCAGACGCAGCGGGCGTCTAGGAGGGAGGCTGAGATTTATAGAGTCCGAGGGGCCCCGCCCCTTGGTGGGCTGGTTTTTTTTTTCCCTTTTCCCCTATTGCTGCGGGGGAGGAGGGGCTCTTTTTGCTTCTGCCCTAGCTGCTACCAGCAAAGTCTCAGCAGGAGATCCGGGGCCTCAAGCCACGGTCGAAGGCGTGGGGGGTTGAGGCATTAACCTCTCCAGATCTCTTCCTAAAGAAGCCACCAGCCCGGTTGGCCCCCGCGCTCAGCGAACTCCGATTGCCGGCCGGCGCGCGCTGCGGCCAGTGGAACTGGCCATTGGAGTCTGTGGCAGCGGAGGGAGGGGACCCCGACGCGAGAAAGCCCCGGCAGCAACAAGATGCGGAGCGCGCAGTGCAGACGCGGAGCTCTGAGAACCCAGCTTCACCCAGCCTGACCTAGGTAGGGGACTGCACGCGTTGCCAGCAGAGTTTGGGGGGCTGGGGAGCCCTGTTGCGGGAGGTGCAGGGTCAGAAAGGAATTTTAAGTCGGAACGAATTAACAACAACAAAAAACTTTCAAAACACCCACCACTGGGCTGCTAAGGCACCCCGCCGGAGGGGACTGTTCTTGGGGCACTGTGATTTGTGAAGTTGTAAAAGCGTTACGCCCCGGTTGTAGAACCGACCTGGGGGATGGGAGCCTGTGGAAGCTGCGGCTGGGAGGGAAGGGGCTTATTTTTGGAAATTGTATAGACAAAGAATATGGGGTGGCAGGCGGAGGTAGTAGGGGAGCAGAGGTTTGCGGTGTGCTGCCCCCGGGAACTGCTGGGTTTTCCTAGCCTTCTTTGCTCCACTTTGCCCACTCTGCTCAGTTACCTTGAGACATTGAAACAACTTCGGCGTGAACTGCTATCCAGTGCCATGTTTCATTTCCTTACACTTTCTAGTTATACGAGAAGAGGCAGTGTGCTGGGGGGTGGGGGTGGCGTAGTACAGAAAACTACCGGGCTTAGAAATTACCAGACATCCTTTATGTGAGTTTCTGGAGAGTCGTTTTGCACTCGAAATTAGAAATAAGCATACGGGCACGACCCTTGATCCTTTGTAGTATAACTTCTCTTTTTTTGTGTTTTTGTGTTTGCTACACCCACAAGTAACTAAAAATACTCATGTAGTCAGAGAATGTACGAAACTTCTGGGATTTATTATTGCAATCTCATGAAAGTTTTGACTGAGTATCTTTTATATTTTATTGTACTGGTTTGGGTGGCAGGGGGAGAAAGGGCAGTTTCCTGTTTGTCTGCGCGGAGCTCTGCTGAGTGAGCCCTCCGACCCTAAACACACCTGCTTCTAGAGTTATTAATAGAACTCACCGAATGACATACCGCTGTCAGATGAATTTTAACTGCAAATCTAATTTCTTACAAGGCAGCGGGGAGTGGTTCTCACCTCCTGATCAGCTGCGGTAGTGGTGGTGGCTTTGGGCTGAAGTGTGGGTCTCCTCCCTTCAACCCCGCGGGTGGTTCTCTTAGGACACTTTGAGGCCACCACAGACCCAGCAAAAGCCTCTGGGGGGCTCTCCCGGCTGGATATTTGGGGCGAGAAAAGGAGTGATCTTCTCTAGGACTTCCATTTGCGTTTGAGTGGGAGAATTTTCGCCCTGTGCAAAGGGGATTTTCAGCTCGGGGTAAGTTTTTAATTTTATGCTCTCTTCCCCCCTTCTTCGTTTGTATTTTTTGAACAAATGGGAATTGAATTTTAAAAATCCCATTTCTTGCGCGCTCCCCAAGTTTCCTTCCAAACATCAACAGCACTGGAGCAATGCCTTCTAGCTAAACTGAATTGTGTTACTGTGCTGACTGTCTCTCTGTGACTTATGTTTAAGGCTGCGGTTTCCGAGGCCCTCTCCAGCCAAGGAAAATCTACACAAAAAAGCCTGCCTGGATCGCTTTCCCCGAACTACCCGGCAGCAGGCAGATACTTCCTCAACCTCGCCCTCTATCGTTTTGTCTGGAGCACCACCCCCTGGTTCCCGGCGACATCGCTGCACACGATGGGCTCCACCATCATCCCTCTGGTCAAAGCCTTTCGCGGTCCAGTCGCCGGTCTAGTTTCGGGTCCAGTCTCCGATCCAGTCTCGGGTGCAGTCTCCGACTATGGCAACTATGACATCATTGTGCGGCATTACAACTACACCGGCAAGCTGAACTTGGGCACAGACAAGGAGAACGGCATTAAACTGACCTCCGTGCTGTTCATTATCATCTGCTGCTTTATCATCCTGGAGAACATCTTTGTTTTGCTGACTATTTGGAAAACCAAGAAGTTCCACCGACCCATGTACTATTTTATTGGCAACCTGGCCCTGTCAGACCTGTTGGCCGGAGTGGCCTACATGGCCAACCTGCTTTTGTCTGGGGCCACCACCTACAAGCTCACCCCAGCCCAGTGGTTTCTGCGGGAAGGGAGCATGTTCGTGGCCTTGTCCGCCTCCGTGTTCAGCCTCCTGGCCATCGCCATCGAGCGCTACATCACCATGCTGAAGATGAAACTCCACAACGGGAGCAACAGCTTCCGCTCCTTCCTGCTCATCAGCGCCTGCTGGGTCATCTCGCTCATCCTGGGCGGCCTGCCGATCATGGGCTGGAACTGCATGGGCAAGCTGCCCAACTGCTCCACAGTGTTGCCACTCTACCACAAGCACTATATCCTCTTCTGCACCACGGTCTTCACTGTCCTCCTGCTTACCATTGTCATCCTCTACTGCAGGATTTACTCCCTGGTCAGGACTCGGAGCCGCCGTCTCACCTTCCGCAAGAACATTTCCAAGGCCAGCCGCAGCTCTGAGAAGTCTCTGGCGCTGCTCAAGACCGTGATTATCGTCCTGAGTGTGTTCATCGCCTGCTGGGCCCCCCTCTTCATCCTGCTCCTGCTGGATGTGGGCTGCAAGGTGAAGACATGCGACATCCTCTACAGAGCCGAGTACTTCCTGGTGCTGGCTGTACTCAACTCGGGCAGTAACCCCATCATTTACACGCTCACCAACAAGGAGATGCGCCGGGCCTTCTTGCGGATCATGTCCTGTTGCAAATGCCCCAGCGGGGACTCCACAGGCAAAATCAAGCGGCCCATCATCGCAGGGGTGGAATTCAGCCGCAGTAAGTCGGACAATTCCTCGCATCCCCAGAAGGACGACGGGGACAACCCAGAGACCATTATGTCTTCTGGAAACGTCAACTCTTCTTCCTAAAACTGCATGTTGCCGGCCCATGGGGAGTGTTCTGCATGGTCACCCACCACCCCGGCAGGCAGGCGCTTGGTGCGTGGGTTTCTCAGAGGCAGAGAGGGAGAGAAGGGTGGAGTACGAGGAGTTTGGTGAACCTGGGTGTTGGAGAAGAGAGTTGGTCCTTGAACAATGCACTGGGAAGGGCGGAGACCAGGTTCTGGCCTGGTACCCATTTCCTTCTCCCTGGAGCTTTGATTTTGCACCAAGCCAAAGGTCTAGCATTGTCGAATTGCCGAAGGGTTCACAGCCCTCCTCAAAGACTTGTCCCCAAGTGAAAGCTCTCCCTCTCTGGAACTTGGAGGTGTTTTCTTTTACTTCCACCCAGTGTGGGCACTTCTGCTTGTCTAGGTATGCTCTACACACCCACCCCCTGCTCTTCACACCTCTCCTCAGAATTCTGTTACTTTATATTTTAGCTACCTGGCACATTCAGCAGGCTAGGGATGTGGCTTGGTTCATTTCTGGGTCATCTGTAGCTGGCAGGCCTTGTCTAGTATAGACCTTGAGGAGATGGAAATGGTTTGGAGATGTAAAGCAATTTCGCTTACTGAGGCCAAAGTTTCCACATAGCTGGGTCAGTATTTTTGGAATTTAGTTGAAGTCCTTTGACTTTTTTTTTTTTTTTTTTGGCATCTTTACAATGGAATTTGTTACAGTATCAACACATTTATCCATTGTGCCTGATATTTGCCTAAGAAAGTTCAGTTAATTTAAACAGTGTCAGCTGGGATCCTTAGTGTCTTGGGAGAAACAAGAAAAGCAAAATAACTGCTTTTGGGGTTAGGGAGGGGTGACTTGTAAACCAAGAGAGATTTCTTGATGATTTTGTCTAACAAATACAGCATCTGTCTCTGGCACTTTTGTTGTTTATTCAGAGTGTTGTGTGATCATTTTGACCCACAGACTGGTTTATTTTGTTGTGTTAAAAGTTTCATGGTTGTTGAATGTATTCCTTCATCAGAGGGCATTGTATTGGATTTTTCTAACCTTTGTTAACACCATTGAATGTGTATGTTAAAAGAGAATACCATCTTTGTGTGCCCTCAAAGCATTACTTTAACTGATAGGGAACATCAGAAATATTTCAGTACAGCTGTTAACTAGTTAATGGAAGATTTGTATAAATATAAAGAATAAAAATATATTGCTGTCTCTTTAGTAAGGTTTTCAGTGCAATTAAACGATGAAAAATGTCTTTTTGTGGGAATAGTATTTAATAGATTTCTGACTTTTTGTGGATCATTTTGCACATAGCTTTATCAGTGTTTAAACATTAATAAACTGATTTTTTAAAGAGTCTTTTGTGAAGGTCATCTTTTAAAAATAATTATTCAGATACTCTATTTGATTACGTGCCGTGATTCTTCAAAATCAAAGCCAATTTGATTCTGTTACTCTTTAAAGGAATTTTAACTTGGTAAACTCGAGTGAAAAAAAAGTGTGGTTGATTTAGAAACTGCTCTTTTTCAGGAAGAGAAACTTCAATAAGTTAACATTGAAGAGTGGTAAAGAAGGAGATGAAAACCACCAACTTCTAAATACCACATTGAAAAGTAACTGTAATCGATTTGAATTATACAAGCCAAACCAAGTTAAGTACAGTAACTCTGTCTTCAAACATGGGATTTTAAAGGCAATTTTAAGTAAATTTTGTGACTCCATAATCAGTTCAACAGGTAAACAAAAACTTACATTTTTTTTTTTGCTTTCTCCCACCATGCTAGGGAAGTGCGCTATGGGCGATAATAGTAAATCATTGAACACTTTGAGATCATACAATATCAAGAAAAAAGCAAATTGGAGAATTTAGTTGAGTAGCATCTATCTTTTTATCTGCAAACTCTTGACTCATAGTATCTTCAAAACTTGTAATCTGCCAGTCTTTCATTTTTCCAATCATCAACTAAGAGCGAGGACACTATGAAAACATCACAGGATGACTGCACTAGCGAATTCTTGCTTCAGACATTACTGTCTTTCTCACTGGGGTTGCAATTGTACTTTGGTGTGTTTGGGTCTCCAGTGTATTGTTACTTTCGCAGTTTGTGTTTTCAAATGTCATTAACTCTGCACAGGACACAGTTGGGACATGAAGATAAACCTTACCTAAAAAAGTAGATGTCATTTCTGGGTAAGGTTAACTGTGGGAAACAGAAGCGTGTTCACTAAGGAAACCTTAGGTCACAACCCCCAGTTTCCTGAAGGAAATGCCAAAAAAGCTCAGAAGACAAAAGACTGGAAACAAGCGGGCATGTCTCTATCCATCTGTCTGCCGAGGCGGAAGGAATGAGTTCATGCTACACTCACTTCCTAGAGCACTCGTTCCAGAGTGTAGCATAATGGAAAAGTGTCCATTTTTGTGTTCCTATGGAAGGCAAAGTGCACATTCTTGGCCTTACCTTTTTAACTGTGGTGGTGACTCACATGGCATGGGGAAGCGAAGATGGGGCAGCTGATTTTGGAGGGCAGGGGGAGCTGGGATGTGACAGCAAAGACAGCTTCACTTGCTTACCTGTGATCACATTCAACGATTTCATGTGTCTTCTTCCTGGAAACTGCAGACAGGGCAAAATACGGGAGAGCCAGGGACTGGTTTTTCTGAGCAGGTAGATGCATGGTGGACTCTGTCCTGACCAAGATGGGGTAGTGGAGATGGAAGAACCCCTTGGTTGTATCCCAGCATGAATATCTGGTTTTAATTCACTATATCCCAAGAATTGAAGAGAAATACCTCAGTTACTCTATATTTTTGCTAAAACAACTATTCATAGTGTTAGGGTTAAAAACATACCTAGTGTTTCTTAAGAAGAGTAAGAAAACTGAAGCACTGCTTGAAATACTCTCATAAGGACCACTGGCTCATAAATATCCTGGGAAGTTATAAAATGACACTGAGTGATAGTTTATTCCCACAGTATTAAAGGTGACATTTTTCAGAAGGTTCAAACAAAATGTTGAGTGCTTGGTCTGGCATTTTGGTGTTATTGAAAGTCTAAAACTTAAAAAGCTTTTAAAGAAAATTTGATGTAGTGATAGTGTATATTCAAAAATTTATAGAAATAGGAACTTTGCATCTAAGTAGATGAGATACTAGATTATATTTCAGTATATAGGACTTGGGTTGTGATACCTAATGTGTTCCTCATGGTAAAAAGTCTTCTATTGACTTTAATTTTACTTTTCAAATTGAATTAATTTCTGCCTATGTTAGGGACATTCTCAATACAACAATAATATAAATTCCAACCTACACTGGAAGATTCGATTCTTTATTCAGTTCACTGAAACCTGTCAGGTTTTCTAGGTAATACAAATGCAGCTGTGCTTGGAAACTACTACGCTGAAATAACAACTTCAGAAAGGTGATGAGTTCTATTGGGGAAATCCTAGAAAGCAACAACTTAAAGTTAATAATTCTAAGTACTCGCACCCTATTTTCACTTGAAAAGCAAGGGATGGTATGGTAATAGCACATTAAAAAATATTCTGGGATCTCCTTGGTGGTGCAGTGGGTTAAAGCACCATATTACGAAGCTCTCCGAAGCCACTGCAGCACAAGTTCAATACCCCGCCAGGAGCTGACCCACCTGGCTTGGCAGACCTCTCCTGACCTGCCCACTGCTCCCCTCAGCAGTGTGTTTCAGTACATCTGCCTATTCTGCTCCCCACTCTGTCTCTGGTGAATCCTCACACACCACACCTCTGGCCTGTACCCCAGTTCTATAAGCATAACTAAATAAATCTTTTAAAAAAAATATTCTAACGCAGGCCCTCCCTGGTGGCACAACGGGTTAAAGCACAGCACTGAGAATCTAAGGCCGCTTCCGCATGAGTTCGATTCCTGCCTGCCCTGGAGGTGACCACATGGTGTGGCAGACCTCTCCTGGCCGCCCGCTGCTCCCCGCAGCAGTGTGCTTCGTCGATCTGCCTGTTCTGTTCCCTGCTCTGTCTCTGGTGAAGCCTCTCACCGCCCCTGAACCTCTGGCCTGCACCCCAGTTCTGTATGCACAAATAAATAAATCTTTAAAAAAAAAATTCTCTGAAGCTGTTGAAGATGTGACCCTGTAGTCACCGGCTCAAAAATTAATCTCTAGATAAAAGATTCCCTAACGATCAATATTTGCAATAGTGAATTTCTGTAATCTTTATATAATATCAGTTACATTTTTTTAATAGAGCAAAGCTCAGCTGAATTTTTATCTAATTAGATAAAATATGTTGATCACATTTGTTTCCTAATGAATTAGATCAAACTTGGTTTGTCTATGTTTTCTCTAAATAGTTTCAAACATCTTGAGGGAGGAATCATAAATAACCAATTACAGTATTCTTTCCCTACGAAAACAGTAAGTTCTTGATGAGGAGGAATTATAAATAAATTGCATCATTTCCTTCAACTTTCCTTCCTGCTTTTTTGTTGAATGTATCACATGGTAAAAGGAAAAGGACTCAGACTACTTTTTTTATATACATACTATTGCCTTCACTGTTAAACAGATTGCAACAGGAGTCATTTTTCAGCATACCTAAACAAGCAAGATCCACTTAAAAAAATAACAAGCATTATTTAATAGTCCTTAACCAGTGGTGTACAGAGCTAAGAATTATTAGAGGAAAAGAACACTGAAGGAAGTTTAGAAATTTGGTTCATGTTTGAAGTAGTTTCCCTGTCATCTTTTTGATTTCTTCTGGATTCAAAGTCTCACATGATGCTTATTTTTTCCCCATGCTCTCTTTTTTGTCCCTTTGAAATGGAAGAATTAAACCCCAGGTTTGGCTCTGAGTATGATTAGCAAAAGCTGATTATGAATGGTGTATTTGACAAGCAGAAATTGTTATAATATATATATTTTTAATTGAAGCACCATCTTGTGCTAAACCAGTTTATATTAATAATGGATTAAGCACATTGTGGGAAATACACAATTATTATGATGAAATAATTTTCAGCAATTAAGATGGAATTATTGCTGATACTTGCAACACTTTACATAAATCTCATAACCATTAGGTTGAGCAAAAAGTCAAATGAGAAACATACTGCAAGATTCCATCTTATAAGAAATTTAAGAACAGCAAAATTAATCTGGAGACAGAAATCAGAACTGTGGTTGATTGGGAGAAGAGGGTGACTGGATCAGAACATGAAGAACTGTAGATTTGAAGCATGTTTCTGAATCTCAAGAACTTTGAAATTAAAAAAAAAATCAGTAGGGTAGACTCTGCTTTTGACTATGAATTGTCTATATGAGACTTTCTTTGTTAAAATGTGAAGGAGGCCCTCCCTGATGGCGCAGCAGGTTAAAGCACAGCACTAAGAAGCTAAAGCCACTTCCGCATGAGTTCGATTCCCGCCTGCCCCGGAGGTGACCACATGGTGTGGCAGACCTCTCCTGACCCGCCCGCTGCTCCCCTCAGCAGTGTACTTCGTAGATCTGCCTGTTCTGCTCCCCACTCTGTCTCTGGTGAAGCCTCTCGCTGCCCCTGAGCCTTTGGCCTGTACCCCAGTTCTATATGCACAAATAAATAAATCTTAAAAAAAAATGTGAAGGAGATTACAAAACATTCAATAGAATGTGACAAAGCATTCCAAAGTGTTCCATAGATGGAATGTCAGCTCTTTTAGCATTATTTTAGTCCCTAGAAACCAAGCATTGAGAGGTTAAGTGATTTTGACCCAATACTACTCTTTGCTTCTGTAGGATGAGAATTTGGCTTTGGTATTGTTATTTGTAATCGCTGAAGAATGTCTGCATCATGGAAGAGTCTAGAATTGTCATGAAACTGCCACAGTAAAAGTTTATTGACATTCAGGATTTCAATTTTAGGAAAACATGATAGGTCATCAGTAACTTTTACACACTGGCAAAGGATCCTGAAACATTAGTATTGGCAACATACAAAGTGGGGCGTGCCAAATCACTTCTTACCATCCAATCAAATCTATAAAAGGCGTTCAGTCAGATACCAGCTCTTGTGTAAGCACTACTTTGTTAGTAGTAATGAGCAGAGACATAAAGCTGGCAGATACACTCATACTGTTAAGGCTTTTTAAACTTGATGTTCCTGGCTAGTTATATTGTTTGGGGGTGCTCTTTCTAAGGATTCCTTCCCTCAGTGTGCTTGGGGAGAAGTTGGGCAGAAGCCGAATGCCTCAGGTACATCCGTGTCCTGGGTCAGATCTCAGACACAAGGAGGAAAGGGAGCAGGAAAGAGGGCGGGGTTATCTGGGCTGACCAAAGAAGGACGGAATTCGGTGCTTATCTCTGCTGTCCTAGAGGGCCCCT